TGCCCTCCTGCCATTTGGGGTCTCATAGCCCCAGAGCAATTGGCTGTGTTAACAGGTGCTCGTGCACAGGGGTAAAAACGTTCAGTATTGCAGTCCATCTTTTTCTTCTTCTTTCTCTGCTTTGCACCACCCTGGTTTCCAAGGCCAATAAGCCCATTCAAAGCATTACTTTAGAGAGATGTTTTTTTTCCCCCTCTAAAAAAGCTGATTTTTGCAGCAGGCCACCTCGGCTTGCTCCTTGTGTGTTACATACCAGCATGTGCAAGCCCCTTTTTCTGCTCGCTGCAGACCCTCTTCTTCTGACCGGCATCTTATTCCCGTGGCCTTTGTGTCTGAGAAATGGTTTGAAATCTCCTGCTGACTGGCCGAAGCCTGTTTGACTTCTGGGGGCAGGGCAGACGCCATCGGGCTGTTTCCTGGTACGTACCATGCTCCCCCCGCGTCCATCCCGTGTCCACCACCCCGTGCCCATCATCCCCTGCCCACCAGCAGCCGCTCTCTTCCCTGCCTGGTGCCATCCTCCTGTTAGCGCTTCTTTTGGGATGTTGGACCCGAGCAGGGTGGCTCCCCCGCCTGGGATGGCCAGGCGCATCTCCCGCCATGGATGGGACGTTGGGTACCAAAATGGCTTTTCCATGGAGGTGAATTACAGATGGGCATGAGCTAAACATCAGGGACTGGGATGGATGTGGACTTGAGCGCAAAGGGTACCTGGGGCAGCCTTGAACTTCAGCCTGATCTTGTGGTTCCAGCCCACCTCTAAAACCTCGACAAGCGATAGTAATTTCCGTGCCATGAAATGGCCTGATCTGTAATTAACCTCTTGTTGCATGATGGACAGCCCATCTCGTTCAAGGGTCATGCATCTGACATGCATGCTCCATCAGTACCCGAAAGCTCATTTGATGATGTTTGCTGTCATCAGCGCTTCCATGCTCCTGCTGCGAGGGTGCCGGGGTCATCGTCCTCCTCCTCCTCCTCCCGTGCCCCACGTTGCTCTGCGGGAAGCCGAGCCTGCAAGCCTATGTGCGCGGTCCCCAGCAGCCAGGTTCACGCCTTGGATACTGCTGCAACCAAAGGAGTACAACGGTGTTGTGCTGGTTTCAACAGTACATTGTTTGGGGATTTTTTTTCCTTTTTGGCTTGGCTTGAGCCTTTTTCACCTCCTTGTACTGCTTTTGAAGGTGGCACGGCCGACAGCGGTGGCAGGAAAAGCAATGAGGGTTCACGGTGTGCCAGCTCACCGTGGGGCAGCAGTGCCCATTCGAGCCACACGCTCAGGTGAATTAATTGGTCTGTCCCAAGTCCCTGCTGTAATGAATCATATATTCAGTGTAAATGAAGTTTCCAGCCTTCCCTGACTGCAGCTTACTTGGAAGAGCCTGTTTAACATTATGCTTAGCTATTGAACACAGGAATATAATTAGATTAGAATGGAAGGGAATAAAAAGTTAATGGTCTCGGCTGTGCTCGGGGCTGGCTGCGTCGGGGCAGGCCAGGTGAGGTGTGCACCTCCTTGCCTGCGCGGCGGAGGGCAGAAAGCAGAAAGCAGAAAGCAAGGGTTCAGCCGCCTGCCCACCGGCGTCTTCGCCCACAGGGTCTCGCTGGCATGACCCCGCTGCTCAGCCAGGGCATCTCTGCCCCCTGACAGCCTCTCCTGGCTGGAGGGGCTTTACTGTTAAATTTAAAAGGCTCTCACTCCCCATCTATTAATATTCCGTCATTATTTCTCTGACTCTTTTGTTGTGGCCGCTGTCCCGGGGGGGGACAAAGGGCGAAGGTACCTGGCCAGAGAGCTGGTGTTAGTGAGCAAGGGCAGCTAGAGGATAAACAGAGAGGTTCTGCAGGGTCTTCCTCAACGGCACGTGCGGGTGCCAGCTTCAGAAAGCAAACAGCAATAGTCCACTGTACCTTTTCCACCGTGAGCTTTGTAGTTTATGATGTCTGTCCATTGGCTTAAAATGTTTTTTTTTTAAAAACCAACACAAAACCCAAGCCAGTCGTACTTGGATGCCATCAGCAGCTCTCGTGCCTGAAGTAGAGGGAAGGAGAATGAGCAGCTCTGAGCTGTTGCCCACTATGGGAAGCCTGTGCAATTCCCACCGCTCCTGCCCGAGGTCCTGTGAAACTCTGTGCCAAAGACCGTGCCCTGGTCGTCTCTGTAGATTTCTTTAAATAGTCCAAAGCCGGTCCATTATGCCTTATTAAATCCTTGAAATTCTCATTGACCCGTTTTCATGGAATCCATAAAACGCGTATTGACACGCTCTTGAAAAATCCATCCGAGTCGTACTTGGAGCATTAGCTCCATGATAGTGTTTCAATTATTTATACAGTTCTGGAAGCTGATGTTTGGTTTCATTAATGTTAACAAAACGAGATTAATCCAAAAACTGTTCTCTGCATATGTACACATGCATATGTGTATTTGCACCAGGGTATTTCCATTTTCATTACACACGCAGAAGTGGTACGTCATGGTAAAAAACAGGTGGTTGCCATAGATCCCTGCCATATGTGGGCAGTAATGTAGACAATGTCACCATGGCACAGGTAACAGGAGAAATTGCCCTTGTCCCAAAATGGGGTCTACCCAAATCCTTTAGAAGTTCAAAAAAGGTTGCTTAATATTTTTTCCACACTGTACCATTCCCCATGCACGTTTGCCTACATCTTCTGCCGGGGCATGGCTGTTAGAGTGAGGAACTGCCAGTACGTCTTCCGAGTGGGCTTTGCTCTGCGCAGCGGTGCTGCAGAGCTGTCCCTGCAGCCCGGTGTTCGCCCCGCAGCCCGTGGCGGTCAGCACGGCTCCCCGTAGCTTCCCAAAAGCCTGCGGTTGAAAGATGCATTGCAACCCCATCCAGACAGCGTTTTGCATAAATGCATATGTGCCAGTTGGGACGTCCCACAGACAAAATGAATATTTCAAGTTTCACATGTCACTGTGTAAGGTAAAACCTTCCGAGAGCAGATGGCATTGAGATAAGCTCCCTGGTAGACTGTCCCCTGTCGTCGTGGTTGTCTTGTACTGTCACTGGACAGATGCTGCTAAGTGCAGGAGGAGCGGTGGGACTGAGGATGCCTTTCCAGCTCTCGTTTCTAGAGGAGGGGCTGGTGGAAAAGCAGATGCAGCTGCTTCGGGCTGCACCTCTTCTGGAGGGATGGCCATTTTCCTGGCTGGCTTTTACAGTAGCAGCAACGTAGCCTGAAGGTGACAGTGGGTGCTGGCCCGCTGCATCTCGGCAGAGGTGGAAGGATGCTCTAGAGCACGCAGAGCTTCCTGGCTGGAGGGGTTACGTGCAGCTTTCTCTCCCCAGCCCCTTTCTCTCGGTGTGTGCAGGGGACAGCGGGCGGCACGAGCGGGGCACCCCTGCAGCCGGGGCGAGTGGAGGGTGGGAGGCTCTCCCCGTTCTGCAGGCGCACGGCCACGCACTGGGAGGGGTCAGACGCTGCACCGGTCTCCGTGCCGGAAACCTCTCTCCTTGGAAAGGCTCAAAGCACTGTACAAGTTTTAATTGATGGCACTTCACAGCTCTTAGCTGTCTAAGAAGCAAATTAGTATTACGGAACGTGTAGAGTCAGAGCTGGAGGCACAAGACGGAAGGTGTGGCCAGGGACAGGGATGGCAGGGCAGAGAGAGTGTGTGGACATTTCGACTAGATGAGCACTGGGAGGCTGGTTGGAGTTTAATGTGGACTTTACATATTACGGTCCATCAGCACCGGGCGAGTACTGAACGTCGTGCTGCCTAAATGGCAGTCTGGCATTTGACGATGCTGACGGCGTCGTGAGGCTGGGCTGAGCGGTTGCAGGGAGCAGATGTAAGGGACAGCGCCGCAGAACAGTCTCCAGCCTGGAGAGCTGCAGGCAGCACTGAGGTTGTGTCAGGAAACCTGGTGAAACTCATCTAGTTACACGGCAAGCAGATGTTGAAGTTATTTCCTGGGGTCAGATTCATCCCGTGCCAACAGGAGGGACGGGGAGGGTTCCTGTGCCACCGGCGCGGTCCCTGCCGGCGCGCTGGCCCTCCCAGGAGCGGGCGATGTTGCCCGCGGTGAGCAGCTGTTGGAGCTTTCCAGCAGATTGCCTCCGCCGGCGTCAGGCCCCGCTGGGCGCCCCGGGGCGGCAGGCAGCCCGTCTGCAAAGAGAGGACCTGGCCTGTCCGGGCAGCCCGGCGTTCAGGCGCAGCGGCAGCAGCGTGGCCCGGGGCTGGTTTAGGTGAAGAGTAAAGCATTCACTTAAAGCAGTTGTGCCGGGCAACTCACTGGAGAATTATCTGCTCGGAGGTATAAAAGCAAAACTGTCTGTGCCCCGATCACGGCAGATGACAGAGGAGACGCAGCGCCAAGGCAGAGGCTTGGCGCTGCGTTTTGCAAACCAAAAGGTGAAATTTGCTGAAGACTCGAGTGGCTTTGCCAGGCACCACAGCAAACTGTGGCTGTTTTGCTTTGATTCCATACTGGCTTTGGGGCTTTCTGAAATGAAGTTTGAGATTTCGCATTATTCTTGTCCTTAATCCCACCGTCTTTGACTGAAAAACCCCATGGAATGAGATTATACAAAAATCTGTAAGGTTGATCAAGCGCTGACCTACTTTGCACAAAGAGGCTATTTGGAATACAATATAAATTTTACATCCTGCAATGCATGCATTAAGTAGTGTTCATCCAGAACTATGTAAATGTTCAGCATCGCTGTTAGGGAAGTGGTGATTTGAGACCTGAAAATCGTACTGGTACGGTAACATTGATCTGACCCTAGCTTTGCATAAGGCAGTTAAAATTCACAGTATTGTATGGTAATTCCATGCTTTGAACACGGCGAGCAGCTGCTGCGATGGCCCCGTTCTGCCTAACAACAGCAAATGGTTTGTATTAACATTAGCAGATAATGAGTCATCATAAAAAATCCAGGCTTGTCTTCAGAGGAATAACAGCAGTCCCAACACAGCCCCGGCGCAGGAGATTAAGGACTCTGTAAAATCTGTCTCGCTAATTAAGACTTCAGTGTTGTTCTTGGAGGTGGTATATATCGGGCATCCTGCTTAAAAATAATGTTGAAGAAAGAACCCTGGAACATAAAGCGTATTGCATGTCTAGATGCTAATAACCAGCTAGTCAGAGGTCATAGCAGAGATTAGGGCGTGTATGTCATGAGCACGCTATAGGCAGCACTTCTGCATATGCCATATATAGATCTGCTGTATATAAAGCCCGCACGTGGGTAGCTGTCTCAGGCACGCTTAGCTGTATTACAGCATGTATCGCTATACACGTAAAGCAAGTGGCCGCACGCTAATGATGAGGAGTAATTGTCTTTGCATAAAGGTTTAAAGATTATGGAGGAAGAGATATTTCAGAAGACAGCAGATAAATAGCTTAAGAAGAACTTCAATAGGACTCTGGTTTTGATGCTTAACCAATTCTCTATTGATTTCTTTAGGGCATTTAACTTTAGAAAATCTTGTTAGTACTCGCCATCGCCTTCTCATCTGCCAGAGCACTCGCTGCTCTTAGGCCAAGTATGAAAAGCTCCAGAATGCAAGGATGCTCAGAAATAAATCACGCTTTGCAAAACGCCCTGAGAAGATAAAAGTGTGCAGTGAGGCACACTGAAGCCTCTTAGTCACTCCCGCTGCTCACCAAAAGCATCCCCGTCCCAACGCGTGCATCCCCAGTCAGAAGGCTGCCCCACGAAACACGGCTGAAAACGAGCTGGGCAAGGCTGGGGCTTCTCCCGGGAGGCAGAAGTAGTGGTCCCAGTCCCAAATGCAGACTGGCAACTGGGGAGGGGGAGGTCGCTGACATCCCGCTTCCTCCGTACCCCGCTCCCCTGGGATGCTCACCCGCTGCCATTGGCGTTTGCTCCCCTGAGCCCTGCTGTGCCGCTGCTGGGAGGAGGGGGAAGCCTCTGGGCTCCTGGGGGGCACCAAAGAAGCGATGCAAGTCGTGATGCGTTTCCCTGTCATGATTTAATCTTTGTTTTTCTTCTCGTCCTT